GCCTAGGTAGCATGTACTACTTGCACATGCAGTTTTCTCTGCTATGCTGTCTCATAACGGGCCATCAGACAATAATTGGCATACACAATAAAGCAAAACAGGAACACCCTGCTTGTAGGTGACTGGTGTTTAACCTTGTAATAATGCATGAATTGATTGCGACAGGCAGGACTAAATGCCTTGGCATCCAAAGTAAAATCACACAGAGACTTGGCAACAAAAAAGTCTACATGTGTTGGCACCAAAAAGCAGCCTGAGGTCCAACGTTCCCCACCAGTGGCTTTGACAGGGTTTCAGGTCGCATGGTGACAGAAGAGCTGCTCAGTGAAAACACGGGCATACATGTGAAGAGCGTGGGAGGAAGGGACAGAAAGAGCCGGCAGGAGATAGGGGGTATGAATAACTGAATATAGGCAGAGAAACGGCAAGACGTGACAGGAAGAGAGCATGAGAATGTGATCGCCAGAGTGTGGGAACAGAGGAAGTAGGAGTGATGGAAGAGGAGCTATGAAAGTCAGCAGCAGAAGAAGACTGCCAAAGTGTTACTCATGATGTTTGCTGCTGCTCAGCATCCACAATCTACTTCCTGACCTCATTCAAGTCAACAGGTAAGCAGGAGTTTATTGAGACTGTGTAGAAACCTATTATTACTGACTAGTTACACATATAAAAAGTTTTTTTTTCAGCCCTAATTAGCCATCTGAGTAGACAGACAAACAAACTACAGGTAGCAGCCAATTCTTTTCCATATAAAGAGTGGTCCTGAAAGACAGAACCGCATACCGTTCAATCTCATATTTTGACAGATCCAATTAAAGTGCAAAAGGAAACCGTAGATCTCTCCTTGTCATCACTGAACGGACACGGTAATAATATACTTCCTGTATCGTACCGCACATTGAGAGAGATCTTGTCATTGTCAGCTGTGTTTTTAAAATAGCATGCATCTTCTTCACATAGAAAAAAAACAGGACGCTACTATGGGATTTTTTTTGACAAAAACATAATGATGTTGTTTAGATGTGGCCATGTTTTGCAAAAAAACTCTTTCCTCTTTCCTGCCACAAAAGAATGAAAGGAAATGTTCTCATTGGGAAATGCATGGTTTTCTATAGAGAGTGTGAAGATCCAGCTCATTGTGATTTAAAGAGAAGAGCTGATAAAAACTGAGCATATGAGAAAATACCTGCAGAGACTTAGGATGACAATGCATCTTTGCATACCTTAAAGAAAACCATGTTCAGAAATGTTAGCACAGGCGTCAAAAAGAGAATATAGGAAAAAAGCACATCTTCAAGGTAATTTTATGGAGCTATAATGCTGGGAATGCCAATTTGTCTGCTAAAACAGCTGCTAGCCTGGGAAAGTAATTTCCTGCCCGTCTTCTATAAATGGACCACCTTCAGTGGAAGCCCCATTGAAAGCAACCTACAAGCAACCCGACAGGCACTGTATGCAGTGCATTCTGGGTGGTGCTTATTTAGAGTGATGGGGAAATGTACAACAGTTTTCTCAATAATTGCATGTTTACTACACAGGTGGTCTAATTTTATGAAATTATCCCTATTCTAGCAGTGAAGTTCCCCTTATTTCAGCACAGCCTAGGATTTGGTTATGCTGTCTAATGTGAGCAAACTGCTGTTTAACTGACATTACTGAGTCCATGTTTAGACTTTAGGTCTATTCTCTATTTGTAAAACTAAAAGTATGTTTTAGTACTTGCCTGTATATCATAGCTGTCGCTTTTGGCCATAGTGACATTTACTATGTAAAAGTTACATCTTAAAATGAAAATGACAAACACTTCTTAGAAGCCAAAAATTATAATACTAGATACAGAAAACTTCACTAAGCATGGCCAGCTGTACATCTTTGACACTTCTTTTCTCTGTCACTTTCTTTCTCTCTCTCTCTCTCACACACACACACACAAGCACCCTGGTCACCCAAACTTCAGTGCTACTGAAGTCTTTAATCAAGACTAATCTGGATGTCCCATATGACCACCATTAATCATTTGAAACTGGCCAAATGTGCCATTGATCAATGCTGTATATCAAAGCAGCTGCTGCTGGCACGAGCCTCTATGTCTAACACAGTGCAAAAAAGCTAATGTTTACTCTGAATGGACCATTTTGGCATCTACATTCACAAACAGAGACATCTGAACTGAGCTTTACAGAGCTCTTGCTTTGACAACTGCTATGATGGTGCTTGTGACAATGCCTGCTAAAAGTGACTGTGAAATACAGCGGCAGTCCTCTCACCACTACTCGGATATTCTTTTTGTTCAGACAGTTTGATCCCAGTGGTTGGCAGGAAGACAAAAGAGATGGCCTCTGCCAGCCAGGGAAATCAGATTCAGTCCAAGCTGAAGCATTTGTGAAATGAACAAAAAAAAATTGCTGTGCAAAAGTAAAGAGACTCTGATTCTCTTACACACACACACAAACAGGAACTACATTCAAACTTTGTGTACACTACTTACGGATGCGCTCCCCTCACTCATACAACCAACAACAGTGGACTCCCACCGATTTTTCTGCTCATTAAATCTATACTTGTCTTGCTGTAGCCAGGATTTCCTGGGACAGGGCCAAGCTTCTAACAAACAGCAGGTTATTAATTGGATCTAGTAGCATGTTTATATTGGTGAGGAGCAAGATCATTTCACACTGGCCTTGGAACAGGTGTGCACTGCACCAGTGCCAAATGAGCAAATTCTCAGAAATTTAAGAAAAACTAGATTTACCACCTTTCAGTTGTATGTTTCTGCCAAACAGTCAAGTTGTAGTTTACATGCATGTTTGTCAGGACTATAATATTTGCAGTGAACCCACTGGGTCATCCTTGAACCCACTGTGACGAACGTGAAGTCACACTGACCTTGGCCTTTGACCACTACAATCTAATCAGTTCATCCTTGAGTCCATGTGGATGTTTCTGCCAAATTTTAAGAAATCCTTCCAAGGCTTCCCTGAGTTATCACGTTCACAAGAATGGGTCAGACAGACAACCTTAAAACATACCTCCCGCCACAGCGGCACTACTTACTGTTCTCTGCATTCATTCATCTCCACAGCGTCAACACTTGGTTATTTATTCTTTCTCTTGATTCAGCATTTTTAATCTCCAAACATTCAATGTTTTCACCGCATTCTTCTTTAAGTAGCATTTGATTAATTACTTCTACACTGCATTGATTTTGTTTCTCTCACATGTGACGCAAACCAGTCATGCCATTGTTGATGCATAAAAATTGGTAAAGTCTAAACCTTCGTTTTGAGCTTTATTAAAAGACAAACTTGTTTTTAAACACAAATCTCTTGCACCATTAAACATGAAAGCTGCCATTGAAAAGTAAGATGTAGCTATGGGAAATATCCAGTGAAGACATCCACGCCGACAACATCTGTCAGCAAGTTAAGAGAGAATTAAAAAAAAAAAAACACTGCATGCAACACCATCTAAAGTGCTGCTGTTATGAAAACTGTCTTTAACTTCCATTTTTGTTCTTGGAGAAGATTAATAAATTTTAATCCTAAAAAGGACCAACTTTTAATGCTAAGCAATTCAGCGACACAGGATTGGTTCAGCTATCTTAAAGTGTGCAATATGCACAAGTTTAATGTATCTACAGTAAAAATTATCAATGGACTTAGTGTTCTCAGATACAAAATATTATTGTAAATTATTCAGAAAAACCTCAAGGTGTCTCTACATCCTAAACATTTTCCTTTCATACTGAACGGTTGTAGCCTCAACAAAACAGACACAGAGGTCAGAGACCACCTGTTCTGCGTTGGCTGAACTGATGAGGCGATATCAGAGGACACATCTGTTCTGACAGGCTACAGGCTGGATGGGAATGGCAGCACGCTCCCAGGCTTCTGGTTGGTGATGGATGACTCACAGCTGATACTAAGGTCACCAGAGGTCACATGGAGAATGGGTAACAGAGGGGCCAGTCAAAACAGTGTTTCTCTAAGGAGTGTACAATTTCAAGGCAAGGAAAATATAGGACCTTTTATCTTTTTTGGCAAGTAATTTGAATTGTGTTGGTGAAGGCTGGCAGGAGATCTTGAGTTATGGGTGAAGGGAAATAAGCTGGAGGGTGTTTGAGTTATTTGTTAATCTGTTTGCACATTAGTTTTTTTTAAATCTTTTATATTTTCAGTATTTCAGAGTAGCTGGCTGTTACATGCAAAGATAGATTGAAAAAGCAAATCAATATTAGCAGATTCACTTCTAAATTTTAGCAATACCAATTGTTTTTCCATTTTCAAAAACTAAGGCTCTGCAGTGTGAAAATATCAGCGGTCCGATTTGTGGTGTTAAAATACATCTTCACTCCCTCTAACAAGAAGGGAAACGAATCTTGAGTTAGCAAAGCCAGCATTCTTGTAAGATTGTACATTTCCGCAGATATGTAACCCGGCCTTTATTCTGGCACCCACTTTATTCTGGCTTTACAGCAAGCATTCATCTCTATATGAAACAGTTTGTACATGCACGTGTGTGTGTGTGTGTGTGTGTGTGTGTGTGTGTGTGTGTGTATCTACATGTATATATGAACTCCACATGATCCCCACCCCTCATTTTATAACTCACTGTGTTATTTCCCAAAGCCTGGGAGGGAGTGGGGTGGTGAGCAGAGAGAGAAAGCAAAGGAGGGGAGGACAAGCACATTCTCAGAGCTCTCCTTTGCCTTATTCTCTATCAGCTTTCATCTCTCAGCCCATCAGAGAGACTGAACCATAAAAGAGTTCAATCACTAGGAGACATATTATTTTCTCCCTCCTTGAATACACTACATCATAGCCCAGACCCATACAACTTCTCCTCCTGTTGCATATGTAATTCCAACCAGCCATAGCTGGAAGCCTGGGTTTCTCTTTTAACTCTGTGTGTTATTAACATAATAAATATATAGTTTCCTCTGTCCTGGTGTTCACAATGAGTATGGAATAAGAATGAAAATAAATCAGAGGAAAACTCACTCATTTTTCTCTAGCAGCAGGATCAGCTGTTCACCTTCCGCACGCAACAGCAGCTGGAGTGACGCAGGATAATTCTGAAAGATGAGAAGAGTGTTAGGGTGAAGACCAGATCTGACACATCCTGCCAGTAGATCAGCATTTGTGTGGAGCTTCACCTTACTTTGACACACAGGCTGTATACAAGGCAGGATGTGGCAAGGCACAATAGTGTTAGAGGAACAGGAAGAAAGTGTCCACATCCTACACTTCCCAAATCTGCACAGGCCACAAAAGTACGCACACCGGACTAGGTAACACTGTAGTTATCAGAGTGAAGCAGTGCCTCTGCAGCAGGACAGAAATAAAGTGCCTGAGGCTTATGACAGAATATCATCATACCACTCTTACAACATGAGCAAAATAAACAAAGAATGACATGAAGAATGTATAAGGACAGCAGAGAGAAATGACCAGACGTGCAAAGTGAGGTATAGGCATACATTTATGCATTATCAGCACACTGTCCTTGTCCTTTAAACATTTCTTATGTCTGCTGACCAGTACTTTTGGGCTATTTGAGAGTCACTGTGTCTGCATTTGTGTGTACAGCAAGTGTGGTTCCAGGTATGTGATGTCACATCATCCATTCAGCAAAAACTAATTAATGATTCTCCAGTGCTTTACAGCTGCTTGATAACCATCACAAGGAGCAGTTACCTAAAATCAGGTAGGTCTTAGTGCAATCTCTGATTAAAAGAAAAAAAAAAAACTAAATCAAATCACCAGCTGTCCTAGTGAAGGGTCTTACTGTATGTCAGCAGTAGTTGGAAACAGGGTGTTTAACTCTATAAAGCTGAAAGTTTAATTTCCCTTGTGTCTATGTGACATATTTGTAATAAAAAAATGTAATTAAACATCACAGCCCTTTTCCTCCTAAATGATTTTGAAAGAAAAGCACAAGGCTGGAAAAAAATAAGTCTCAGATGGTGACTTCCATGCACCAGAAAAAAAAATCTGATTGCTCAGGGAGTTTTCAACACCTACACATTTTCCTCCTCTGGAAAAGTTTCCTCAAGTTGTGGAGGGGGTTGTTGAATTTCAAACATTTTCTTTTCTGGCTCTAGTTAGTAGGTGGGACAGACTGGTATGTCTCCCTGAGAACAAAAGTCTACTAAGTCACAAGAGGGCTGGTTTGAATATACATAGTATGTAGTGTATCTACAAATCTTTTAATCTAAGATATATTTATAGTTTTGTGCACCGCTGACTCGTATAAAGGCTGAAAGCTGATGAGTTTCAGGGATATGTATCACCTATGGGGTAACCTCTTATTCAACAATCAAATTCAAAATGTAGGAGAGGGAGTTAGTGAGGAGAGAAGCCACAGCAGGAAGGATGAGCTAAGAATGGACTTTCTACTGAAAAAATAAATAAATAAATAAAGCCAAGTAAGCATGGGAGGGAATCATATACTGTGGTTATGTCAAACAAAGTAGTTAGCCAAGCTCTTGGAAGGAAACTGGCACCAGCTATGCTGCTGAGCCAGCTCATTAGCATCACACTAGTGCTACTTAGCAGCATTGTGACTGTTTACCCATGCCGTGAGCTCGCTGAGAGGTCTCGGCTCCTCGCCCTTCAGCAGCAGAGGTACGGTGGTCCCATGACGTTCTGATTTAATTCCTTCCCCTCGCTGTTTAGACTTGTCTGGACTACTTCCTGTGAAAAGATGATACGTGCAGATTAACCCGACTTCAAATTACGAAATCAGACATCACACTCTAAAACACCACAAATGCCTACACAGCAGATTTTGTTAAACTGGCAGAAGGAGAAGTCAGCAATATGGTTAAAATAGTTCTATAATATCCTCAGTAATTCAAGCACACTAATAGATTTTCAGACAGAAAAAAAAACTGCAACAAGTGCAGGGGGGACTCAGACATGTGGCTCAACATTATTAAAGACTGTGGACTGTGCTGCTGTGAAAGAGTAAAAGCTCTCTCTTGTTCGTGTGAGGTGATTTGCTGTCACCCAAAGGGCCCCAGCAATAGGACCACAGACAGCGCATCAATAATAGATGCTCTCACACAGTTTATGAGGAACCCAGCCTTTAAGGTATCTCCAGACAGGAATGGAGTTAAAGCAAAAAACTAAACATAAAAAAAAAAAACCCACACAGCCTACCAGGCTGAAATGGTCCTTTCCACCTTTTATATTTGTTTCTATCTTTTCCTCTTTTTACTCATCATCAGAAACTGGCCATGCACTTTGCTGCTTTCAACCGTTTCCTCCTTTCTCCTTCTCTCTTAAAAATATTTTATGCCTCTTTTAAACTTTCACTGAAGTGAAATTAGCAAAGTTACAAGCCAGTTATTCTAATTAGCCTGTTCATCTAGGAGGCAAACCATGCTGGATGTATATAGCATATGAAAAAAGTAACATTTGAATTAAATTGAAAAAATAAATAAACCCAATCAGTGCCTTCAAACAGAATGTGGGAATCAGTCACAGTTGCCCCTCCTCAGCATCTCTCTTCTCCCACAGACAACTGAGACTGTCCCCCAATGCTCCCATGGCCTTACTGAGAATGTCTGTATTGTAGCAGGCCCAGCAGGCTTCCCGTGAAGCCCAGTAAACGTTACAAACCCAGAGAGGAACTGTGGAAATGGAGTAGAGTGTCAGAAGGCAGGGGAGAGGTTGTTTAAGGGTTCACACTCATGTCATCACCAAAAGATGAGTATGTACAAAACACTCATGTCATCACCAAAAGATGAGTGAGTATGTACAAGGTCATTGTGGTGCAGGCATTGCCGCTAATCCCTTGGGACATGCGCATAAAGCATCAGTGTGTTTGTGTTTGTGCGCAACATCATGCAGGGTACAACAAAAGTTCAGTAGTATACTGAGCAGCAACACGACACTGACATGTTTTGTTTTCTCTTCTTCACGGCTGGAGAGCTCTTCATTTTCAAGCACTCTGTCTTTTAACAGTCTGACAAAATTCAGAAATGACTCCTGCGCCACCACAACTACATTTCTTATAACTTCAAACGGTCTGTGACGGCGGTTGTGCTGTGCTCTCAGTGTGGCCCAGACTTTCCATCAATCCACAGTGCACAATAAGCTAACAAGGGCATAAAAGGGGCCTCCTATATTAAATGGGGTATTTGAACATGTGCCCACAGTAGTTTGTTGGTTTTAGTGGTGCATGAAAACCACGTCAGACAGAAGGAGCAGCATGACTGAGGCCACAGGCTGTTGCTAGAGTGCCATTCAAAAGGGACTATAAATGGAAAGTCAGGCAGACGTCTTGCTAATAAGACTTCAACACTTCCACCGATGTCATTCACAATTCTTTTAGAGCTCTCAGATATCGAATGCGTTAATTAAACACTACTAATTGAGAAAAATAACTAAAGGCTAGGGTGTGCTTGAAAACAAACTAGTTCGGTAGATGTCATCCGAAGGAAAGCTTTTATAGCCGAAGCAGCACTTGAAATGCAGCGAAAAGCCTGACATCATAGAATGGGCTAAGACCCACTGAACTGCACACCAAGTCTTTCCTCAGAGGTGTTTGTGGTTTTCCACTCGTTTGTTCACACGGAAAGTGAGGAAATAGTGTGAAGAATGAAAAGGAGCGCCAGACGTTTGCCAGCTTCCTCACTTGCTGCATGAAGTGAGCATGCTTGTTAGGTTGCTGGTAAGATTAGACTGCAGAAAATAACAAATGTAACCCACTTCCCCACCAATAAAAATTCACTTGAAGCACACTAGTCCCTTTAATGTGTATGTGTTAGGTTGGTGCAAGTATGTGTTTATGCAAACATCCATCCCTGCTCTTCAAAAAGAAGCATTCCCTTCAAACTGCATAGAAATATGACATTCATGACCATTCTCATGGGCTTTATTCCCTTTGGGAACTTTTGAAATTAAAACTAAAACTGGGTTAATCCCATGTTTTCTGGAGAGTATTGTTTGCTAAGCCAACCACAGCTGTATCCCCATACTGGACACAAGGGAGAATCAGCTGCAGGTCAAACATCTAAAAAAAAAACACAAATTCTGTTTGGCAGCAGAAAACATCTTTCCCCAAGTTTCTGTTTAAATAGCCTTGAAAACCAGATCTCCTTTACAGTTAACATAATTTCGACGGTCTCAGAAGGGTGATTTTTGTAATATCCCGTTTTAGTATTCCACTCCGCGCATGTGCTCATTAACTGGCAGGTTCGGTGAAAGCAAACCACGGCTAATGTGCACTTTTACTCAGCAGGGAAGTAACACAGCCAACAATATAAATAATTTCAGGCAAAGAATAGTGCTGAAGGACTCAGTAAAATAAAAAAAAAATCTACCTTATTATATATACTTAGTATGTTACCTGCTGCATCATAGAGATATCCACTTTCACATGTATTTGTATATTTATTGACCTTTTTGGAGGAGAAGGGTGTCATATACTGCGGTGGTGATTAAAGCGAAGCAACTATCCATGCATAAATAATATGCTGAAAAACACATTTGTGCAGCATTACCTCTGTTCCCTTTGGTCTATAGTAGAAACAAAACACACTGCTCAGTCAGCAACAGTATCACAGAGTCCCTGTCTTAAGATGAACATGAGAGGTCAAAGTAGGCGGATGAAGGACATATGGTAATCTATAGAAAAGGGGGTCAGGGACTGTGAGAGATGATATCGCAGTGAAACATCTTGAAATTTAATTAGCCTAAAAGAGCATCTGCAATAAAAAACGAAAACAACTGTGCACAACATACTATGTATTTCATGAAAAAGAAAAAATATTACAGCCAACTGATTCTCTATCAAAGCATTCAGTTAATCAGCCTATCATTTCAACTGTGGTTCCCAAAAATAAAAAGCAGTGAAATACCGGACATGACCAGACAAATGGTCAAAAATCTTCTTTAGTGTTGATGCTTTCTTAGCCATATTACAAAACCATGAAATTGTTGTATTTAACGCTGTCAAAATCAGAGCTTTTATGTTGCAAACTTCCTGGTAACCTCTGTCTTAGCTGTGCCCACATGGGCCTGGTATCAGCAGTTTTCTACTCTGGTCACATATAAAAGTGAGACGACAAAATGAGGTCCCCGGAAACGTGGCTTTTCAGTTATTTCTCATCACAGGGGACCAGACCGTTAACACAGCTGATCAGAGGATGAGATCTCTGATTATGGATTCGACAATGCCAAAGATTTTATGTTCAATATGGGCATGATTGCTGCACCCCTAGCATCCAGTTAAACCCCTGTGATGTGTCTGTGAATGCCCTTAAAATGTGACTCTTGGCCCACTGCGATTCACTAGAAAAGCCTCTTTCAGTCAAGGAAAGAAAGATGAATGTACCACGATTATGCACAAGGAGAAATGTTCTCAAAATATAAAGGTCTTGTGCCAAAACTGTGACATGCAACACACAGCAGAGGTGAATTCAACTGCATCTAGATTGAAGGGAAATTTGGATTTAACCCAGTTTCTCAGAATGCCTTCTGTATTGATCACACATATTGATCACATTAGCAAAGTGTGGAGCTGAGGCTCATTGCATGGGCCTGGGACAGGTCTTACTGTCAGAATGAACAGATTTATTGTTCCTTTCACTTTTTTTTTATTGACAGAGCAGGTCACATGAAATAGAATAATTTAGTTTCATGTTTAGAGTTTCTAGAAGCAACTAAACTGAAAACAAAAAAGGACTATTTCTTCAAGTGCAGTGACTTCCTGTGGTTGTGCACAGCCAGAAAGTAGTCACATGTAATCAGAACACAAACTGGTGAGCTTTTAAGGTACTGGTATGTGGATATTGTTACCTTTTGACAGAGCCAGTCTAGCCGTTTACAATCTTTACGCTAAGCTGACCATCTTCTAGTTGCAGCTTCATGTTTAAGAGACAGGGTGAGAGTGTTTTATCAAGCTTCGCATCAAACCTGTGGCAAAAAAGCCAGGAAGAGTTTTTCCCCAAAATGTCAAACTATTGTTTTAAAACTGACACCAATTAGTAATGTTCACCTCAAACTTCAATCATCTGCAGAGCAGGTAATCATCTCATAGAGGTTCTGCTTTGTGAGTGGTGCTGGTACGAGCTATCAAACAGCTAAGGAATAAACAAAAGCAACGTTCAATAGTGAATAAAGAATGTGATCATATGGCAATAAACGCATTCCTTTTTTTGCAGTTTGATGCCAAATTAACCACACAATTTAGAGGAGAAACAATTAAAGCCAGACATCATTTTCCTTCCATTTGTCACTCTCATCATACTTAATATTGCCAATGTCAGTTCGATGTTTTTGCCATTATGTCCCTTTAAATACAGCATTTGCTGTGTTAGGGGATCTGCTGCGGAAGAGACCTTCCCAATCTGGCCACAAGCAGGCACTCTAGTACCTGTTTCACAGCTCTTTTGTAATAAGTCACAGATGGAGAGGCACTTTAGATGGAGGTCTAACAAACGGGGTTGAAACGTTTGAAAAAATTTGCATTCCTCACAGATGAGACTGCAGTACAAAACAGAAAGTCAGGTTTTACACACAATTTCCAAAATCTACAAACTTTTTTTTTCCTTTTTGCCTCATCAGATAAAACACAAAGAAAAAAACTTGAATGACAAGCGCAGGCACCGTGTACTTTAACACTAACACAGTTTTTGATTAGTGGAATTCTTCTGAGGAATGAATAAACCATCTGGACAATTCAG